CCCCCCCGTGTGTGTGTTTGTGTGTGTGTGTGTGTGTGTGTTTTAGCAGGGACTGACCAATATCCCCAGCCTTTTCTATTTTCTAACATAGGGCCTTGCTAAGTCACTAAGTTACCCATGCTGGGCTCAAACTTAGGACCCTCCTGTCTCTGCCTCCGTAAATGCTGGCATTAGATATGTGTCACCACACCAGGCTCAAAAGGTAGCTATTATTAATCCCTCAATCGTCAATCCTGAGAGTAATCCAAATGAAGATGTTCCCACATTCACTGGTAATTTTTTTTTTTTTTTTTTTTTTGTAGTTTAAGGGTCTACAGGGTGTTTGGGGGTCTCACTACTAGATCGAACTCCTAGTGATCCACCTGTTTACAGCCTCCGGAGAATCGGGATTACAGGCACGCCACCACACTCAGTCATAATGGTCTCAATCCCTATCTCAGTGTGCCCCCAGGGGCGTGGCCAAGCCCCTGGCCCCTGTGCCTGCTTGCAGGCACTTTAATCCATTGAGCTACTTGGCCAGCCCTCAGTGGTAATCTAAAAGGTGTTAAAATGAAGATGAGGCAGGAAGATTACAAGTTCAAGGCCTGCCTGGGCTACAAGGTGAGTTCAAGGCCAGCATGAACTACATGGCAAGACTCTGTCTCAAAAAACTAAAAAATAAATAAAAGAGAAAAAAATAAATACGTAAACGGACTAGAAATGATGGCGGTTTTCTCTGAGGCCTCCACCACACAGGCCCACTTCAAGGCAGCATGTGCGACCTGCACACAAGATGCTGAGTCCAATCCCCAGGACACAGACAAAAACGGATCATGAACACGAAGTGCATTCAAAACTATTTCAGACACGACCCCTCACTTTCCTGTGCAGTTCACACTTCCTTTTCCTCTTTACCACATTAATCGAAGACTTCTTTTACAGGATGCAAAGTCTAAAGAATGAGTGGACACTTCCCAGTGTTTTTCTCTACATAAAATAAAGCTTACTTTCAGTTATTTTTCAGTTATTTTCTTCAATGCGGGAACATTACAATTATGCATGTTTTAGCTGCTATGACCTTGAAAACTGAACCTTTCAACAATCAACGTGCAACAGCTGCCCTTCCTCCACACGAAGACAGAGCCACCCGCAAGGACACAGCAATCTCGGGCCACCAACTGGAAAGCTGCTTCATGCCTGCGTTCCAGGTGACATCCTCCTCCCACTCAAAATATATTCCCTCGCCTTTATGAGAACCTGAGCTGCAGGACCACATAGATAATCCGCTACTACTCCCATTTCTAGAAGCAGAAAAACGATCTGCTGAGAGATTAATCCCAGTAGTCTGTCTAGGGGGTAGAGGAAAACCCAGGGCACACATGTTAGTTGTTTTTCTCTTTTTTGAGAGAGAAAGAGGGTCTCTATACATAGTACAGGCTGGCCTTAAACTCCCTGTGTAGCCCAGGCTGGCCCTGAACTCCTGATGATTCTCAAGCTCCAGCCTCTCAAGCGCTGGGACTATAGGCGTGTGCCACCACGCCTGGCCTTTTTTTAAATTTCCCTTTTTTATTTCTTTTTTTTCCCCTCTTTTTTATTCTTTTGGTGCTATCAGGAACCCAACTCATGACTTATGCCACTGAGCTATATCCCCAGCCCTGTTTTTGTCTTAAAACAAACGATGATAATGTATGAGCCGTCTGTTCTCATCTGAAGCCTCAGGTTTAATTGTAGCATTGGCACTTGGCCATAAATAAGTGGGCTTGGAGTTGCAGTCTGGGCACTCATTTCTAAAAAGATTTGCCGTCACTGCCCTTGGGGGACGAGGATCAGAAGCCAGGTTTTCCAGCTCTGACTCCAATGCCAGCTATATAGCTCTATACCCTAGCAAGACCTCTTTATTAAGCTTATTTGCTATTACAGAAAAATATAGTAAATTATAATCACCGTGATGAGCAAAAGGCAGAAAAAGTCATCTAGATTACTACTTAAGAAGTCAAGAGTCACTGGTTCTGGTGGTACACACTGGTACTCCCTGCTGCTCGAAGGACAGAAGCAGGACTTCAAATGTGAGGCCAGCCTAGGCAACTTAGCAATATCCTGTCTCAAAACTAAGACTAAAAATGGCTATGGACATAGCTTAGCGGTAGAATACACCTGAATTCAATCCCAGGAGCAGAAAATATATCTATGTATTTGTATATATGTATTATATGTATGTAGGGATATATATATGCCTGAGGGTACGCAGAATGCTTGCCTAGCATGTGCAAGGCACTGGTTAGATCCCCAGCACTCTGTGGAGGGGTGAGGGATGAGGGTAATTATTTCAACTACATAAACAAGTATACAGGGCCTGGGAGTTAGCTCAGTAGAATGAGTGCTTCCCTGGCAAGCACAAAGGTCTGAGTTCAATCCCTGGTTCCGCAAAAAGAAAAAAGAAAAACAAGTATACAGCTATCCCTTGTTATCCACGGAGGACTAGTTCTAGGAT